CTTTAACTGTAAAAAGTATTTTTATGTAAATTAATAAATCATAATTATTTCATTAAATTTCCATACTGCTTGAAAATGCTGTATAGTTGTAGATACAAAAAAAAAAAAAATCATTGGTACTGTAATATTTTTTTAAAACTCAGTTCCTCGAGGTATATATGATCACTTATGTACTGTTAATCATGAGCCCCACAAATGGGGTGGATTTTATTGTTAAAAACCATTTTTTTTCTTAATAACCAGTTGCAGAAGCTGCCTTTCACCTGCCACAGCCAGCCCCTGCAGTGACTGTATGAGAAGGAGAGCCACAGTTTCTCAAGCTCCTGCTCAGTGAGTACTTGAAGCAAGTGCTGTGAAATGCAAATTCACAGCTCCCCTTGGCACCTAAATTCCAGGTCTTTAGGTAGAGAAAAATCAATTAAATACCCTTCAGTTTGGCTTGGTGCCTGGCCCATGTGCTTGCTGAAGTTTTCAGTTCTGAGCAGTGACTCTCTTTTTTTGTCACCTTCCCCATCTCCCTCAGACCTTCTTTAAGGCTTAACCTCCTCTCTTTCTTTCTCCTCATCTTCCTCAGAGCTTTTTTAAGGCTGAATCAGCCATTCAGCACAAAACTCTTCTTTTTCTCACCTTGTCCAAGAGCAGAACAGAAGAATGTTCAAGTCTTTATGCACAAATTCCTTTAATTTCCATGGTGGGATCTTCTATGGACTGAGACCAGCCTGGGCTTTGTTTGTTTGGGATATTCCCATTCTTTCCTTCCTAGAAGATCCAAGCTTGGGTTTTGAGTTGTCCTCTTGTTTGGCAGAGCTCCCAGTGCTCTGGGGAACCCCTGGGATTTCTCTGGAGCCCAAATTCTCATCTCTGATGCCTTCAAGCTCCTTCTTGGGGGAGCCACAACTGCAGGGCTGCTCCCTGCTCCCCAGGGCAGGTTCTTTCTCTAGTCTGGAACATTGGCTCCAAAAGCTGCTTTTTTAAATCCTGATGAAGCAAACCAATGGCAAGAATCTGTACATAGTTCTAGTTTTCTACCTTTTCTGCTTCTCTTTCTTTCAAAGATCGGGCGGAGGCTTTTTATAGAGCTATTTTGGTACCAAATCTGTGCAGACGCCGGCTGAGTTTGGTCTGCAGACTGAAGTGCCAACCCAGGGCCCTCAGTGACCACTCCTGAACGTTGTTGTCTTTCACAGCTCATCCATTTTTGGGTTTACATTGACCAACCTGAGCCATCAATCTCCCAGTTCTCTCCTACAAAAGTCCAGCCTTGTTGGTTGTTTTGGTCTCTTTTCTATACCAGAATTTCCTTGCAGCTTTAGCTGGATGGCAAAGCAGTGTCTGACTCTTTCTATACAATTTTCTAAACAGTGACTTGTTTTTTCTACATGAAGGAGATGCTTTGTTTCCTGTTCTCTGTCAGCTTTCCCTAATCCTGTGGACAGTTTTCCAGTGCAGGGTAAGAACAGTCCCTGCTTCTCCATGCTCTGATGGGAGCAGGGAGTGTTTGTAAACACCTCTGACATTACCTGGAATATTTGTGCACTGACCTCTTGATGAAAACTGAAGAGAATTAGCAAAAATTGAGAGTTTTTGTCACTTTTTTGGCTGTACCATCAAGCCCTGTTATGTGCATTTCTGTCCTTGCTCTAATTCTAGGTCATGTCTTGAAATGGTTTCATTTTGAACTTGAAATCCATGTTTTTTTCTGAGGAATTGAAACTTTCAAGTGTGGCAGATAGAGATGGAAACAAGGAAATCACCTTTGTTTGAATGGCAGAGCAAAAAATCCCCTCCAAAAGCACTTTGTGACTCTGCCCTCCCAGCAGGAAAATCCTCAGGCAGATTTTTGGGAGTCAGAATTTATTGGAAGTGCAGTCAGGGAGGAAGGTGGGATCTGATGTGTGTTAGAGGATTCCTCCTTTTCTTCATCCCTCAAGTGCTGCTGATCCTGAGGTGGGAACATTTGTACAAATTTCCAAGGGCTTTTGCCACAAGGAACTGCTTTTGATGGATTTAATCTCCATTTTCTTGTCTGTGATAAATAATAAGAGCCTGATTTGAAGCAGAGAGAGGAGGGACAGATTAAGAAAACACAATTTGAAGACTCAAGGTCAAATGGTTTTGTTTCTATGAGAAAGTTGATTTTTTTACTCTTTGAAAAGTTCTGTTTTACATTTCAAAGTTCAATAACTTTAATGGATTCATTTATGTGTTTGAAAGTAGCATTTGATTTTCCCCTTCCTGGGTTTAGTTTATTTTTCAGTTGAAGCAAGTGCAAGACACCTTGTCTTGATTCTCTGAGGCTTGACTTGGTAATAAATCTACTGATCCTTTGTAGCAGACTGTGAATATTGTAAATATCTCGAGCTGGAAGTGTGGGATCAAAGAGGAATTTCTTTGTACAAACACTAAAAATATGTGAGAAAGCTCTGGAGGTTGTTGGGTTTGGGGTTTTTTTTTAGAATTTTATCTAAGTGAAGAAAAATGTCTGAAATCATTTGACCTTTTCAAAATTTTCTGTATAACTGGCTTCTCCTGTGATTTGATTATTTGAAGCTTTTCTATTTCTATTAAAATTAGGAGAACCTGATTAGTGAAAGAGATTTTGATTGGAAATAGCAACATGTCAAACTTTTGCTGTCATTACTTCTGGATTTTCTTTTGGAAACTCAAGTGTGTCCCCATGTTTAACTCCTGTGTGTTAAAATGTTCTCATTTCTCCTCTCAGTGTTCCCTGTTAGTTCCTTTTGGATCAGTATTACATTGTAAATATTACCCATCCTGTATATAAATGATTTTACTAAACTCAAAAGTTCCTGCCTGGTTTTGTTTGGTTCCCAAATCCCTGCACAGAGACGAAGGAAGGAGCAGGAGGGAAGAGCAGCAGGATTCTGCTTTTCCCTGGAAGTTTCCAGAAGGTTTGGGTGCACTTTGGGGGTGGTTAATGGTGAGCACAGTGGTGCTGGGTTCATTTTTGGATTTTATTACCTTAGAGGATTTTTCCAGCCTTAGAGATTCCATTATTCCATTATTCCACCACCCTCAGCCCCCATCCCACCTCCCTGATCCATGGGCACAAACACTTGAATGAGGATTTGAGGCTGGATAAATCCCTGGGCAATCCTGGGCTCTGCTTGGCACCATAACCCACAATTGCCTTTTTTTAGCCCAGCTTTGCATCAGATGGCAGCAGCACCTGCCCAGTGCTCCCAGTTACCCCCTGAGGGCTGGACTGGGCACTCAGGGAAGGGAGGGATGAGTCCTTCTGTCTTTGGGACACTGGGGATAGGAGCCAGATCCTTGAGGTGGGAGCCCTGCTGGGACTGGGGGACACTGGGTGGTCAGAAATGGATCTGCTGTGTTGCTGATGGCCCTGAGCTGTTCCAGGGACAGGGAGTTCTTCCCTCCCCTCTCTCTTTCTTTAAGGAAGGAGCCTCAGGGTGGCATTTGGGCCCTTCCTGCCTCTGGAAATGTTTTTGTTATCCTCGGGGTGACAGGAACCAGACACACCCAGGAGCATTTCAGGACACAAGCTGGGGCAGGTGTGAGGGCTCAGGCTCCTTCCTTGTAAGAGAATTTCCCTCTGCTTGGTGCCTTGGGGGAGTTCAGAGTGGGTTGGGTGGTGAGTGACCCTCAGAGCCTCCAGACTGGGAAAGGGACTGAGGGGACAATTTATTCCCTGGGAGCACTTGGAGCAGCCAAGCCAGCAAGAAAACTCCCCTCAAACAAACACTGAGTGATTTCTGCAATCTGAGGAGCCCTGGGACTGTGTCAGCACCCACTGCCAGCCCTGATGCTCCATTAGCAATCCAATCATTGCTCCCTGGGTAATCTTCCATCACTTAGGAAGCCTTAATCCCCTTTTAAACAAATTGCACTGGCTCCACAAACGGGGTCAGTGCCAGGAGGGTGCAGGAGGCTCTCAGGGGTGAGGCTGGGTTTGTTTTATGCCCTGCCAGTGCCAGGACACAAATCCCACCCTGCCTGTGGAAAATTTGCCTTTGAGTCACCCATATCCAACACAGAGTCACCCATATCCAAACTTTGGGACTAGAGGAGGATTTGAAGGACCAGGGGGAAGAAGATGGCTGAAAACTTTGGTTTTATCCTTTAGAACAGCAAAATTGAATTGTTTCACTCAGTCTGACTCTGTAGGAGAAAATAAGTCATTGACCAAGCCTCCAGGGCCCTTGTGTGACTTACCCAGAGTTTACACAGTTGTGTAAGTTAATTACACAAAGCTGGAGTATTTCCTCTTCTTGTCTAACCTGCTATGAGAAAAATTTGGGTTGGACCCAAAAGGTGAAGCTGTTGGAAAATAAAAGAGTGTGAAGGTAAAGAGTTGTTTTTAACACAGCTGAAGACCTGGTTTATTTCCTACAGAATGGTGGGACCTCAGTAAATAATTCATGTGAACATCTGGAAATGCAAAAACAGATTCAGACAAAGTCCTGCTCACCTGGTTCATGAGAGATGCTCCACAGGGTCGAGGCAGCTGATTTTGGGGAGTATTGTGGCTGGGCAGGAGTTGGCAGGGAGAAGAAAAGGGAAATGTGCAGAATTCCAGGCAGATTTTGTCCTTTGCAATTCTTCACTCCCTGCAATTGCTTCTTAGGGTGGTGCAAGTTCTCACAGAGTGAATTAAAAGGCAGAGATTGAAAAATACTCATTTTGCTTTCTGTTAATTTGTAAAGGCAACGACTTGGAGAAATAAAGTAAAAAAAGCTCCTTAGGAGCTCCAACCTCCATGGAGCTGCACCAGGTCTCTGAGCCTTTACATGGGGTTTACTGCATTTCTAGGGATATTCCCAGGAGGAGAAAGTCTGGACTAAAGATTTACCACGCTGAAAGAATCCATTAAATAAATAACTATGTCCACTGAGCGCCTGGCTCTGCCAGCCCCGCGGGGACAGCTCCATCCCGGCTCTGCAGAACGAGGAGTTGAGTTGGGAAGGAGGAGCTGGGAGGACTCTGCCTCTCTCCTCGCAGGCCGGGCTGCAGCTGCATCAGAGCAGGGTGGAGGAGGAGCCCGCGGGGTCGGGCGGGCCCGAGGGGGCTGTGCTGGAGTAGAATTTCTTCTGGGAGCGCAGGAGCGGGGTCTGCGTGTCCACATCCCGGCGGGAGCCGCGCTTCAGCGACAGGAACACGTGCTGGGTCCAGCCGTACACCAGGCAGTTCAGCAGCCCCTGGGAAGCTGCGGTGAGAGCCTGGGAGAGAGGGAGCACAGGGGAATGAGGGATCCCAGCACTGCTCCGTGCTCTGGGATCCATGGAAAACCTCCCCCTCCCAGCAGGATTTTATCTTCCCTGTGATAGAGAATTTATCTTCCCATTTATTTTAATAAATGTTCAATGAATATCTAATGAAATATAAATGCTATATAAATAGAGAATATATTTTATGTGTGTTTATATATTAAATAAATATAATAATTTAGTATATATAGTATAAATCTATAGCTATGAATAAAATGTCTAACTTCTGCATCAGGCACAAGAAGGAGCTGGACAAGTGTTATTAAGGAATCACATCCCCCTCCCAGCAGGATTTTGTATTCCCTGTGATACAGAAATTGTGCTGTTATTTTAATAAATGTTCAATGAATATCAAATATAAATGCTATACAAATAGAGAATATTTTTAAAATATGTTTATATATTAAATAAATATAATAACTTATATAGAGAACTATAACTATAGTATATATAGTGTAAATCTATAACTACATAGATATAATTTAATAAAATGTCTAACTTCTGCATCAGGCACAAGAAGGAGCTGGACAAGTGTTATTAAGGAATCACATCCCCCTCCCAGCAGGATTTTATCCTCCCTATGATAGAGAAATTGTGCTGTTATTTTAATAAATCTTCAATTATTGTCTAATTAAATATAAATGCTATACAAACATAGAATATATTTTATGTATGTTTATATATTAAATAAGTATAATAACTTATCTAGATAACTGTAACTATAGTATATATAGTATAAATCTATAACTATATAGATATAATTTAATAAAATGGGTAACTTCTCCATCAGGCACAAGAAGAAGCTGGACAAGTGTTATTAAAGAATCACATTTGGAGATTTAGGGACATAGGGTAACAAAACCAATTTCTGGGGATCCTTTCTAGTCCTGTTTGCTGCAATTTCCATGACCACAGAATCAGTGAGGTTGGAAAAGACCTTTGAGGTCACCAAGTGCAAACATCCACCCAGCAGCCTGCTCACCACTAAACTGTTGAGATTTTGGTACTGAGACCTTTTCATGCCTGTGAAGAACATAAACCACCAAACCAAGATCTTTGTCAATCAAAATCAGACTTGGGCTCACACAGCAGAGATCCAGCAGGGATGAGGGCAGGAGAACTCAAGGTGAGAAGGCAGAGGCTGCAGGGACAGACATTTACCTGCAGGATCAGCAGAGCCATGTAGATTTTGCTGGTTGTTGAAGCAGTCAGTTTGAGCATCCCAAGGAGCACAGCTGTGGAAAGGGATGGATGGGAGGGTGAAGTTAACCCCACCTCTCTGGGGCTCCACAGGGGGATGATGTGGGAGGAACTCTCTGCTCACCTGGGGCCCAGCAGCAGAAGAAGGCAATGGGGTAAAAAACCACTCGTTGTTCCACCATCTTAATCATGGCCCACTGCTGATCCCCCAGGAACCCTGTGGAGTTCACAAACCTCTTGTACAGCCCCCGGGCCTGACTCAGGATAACCTGGAAAAGAGCAGGCAGATGTTATTGGACAGGCTGGGATCTGCTGGGTTCATCCAGGATGGATCCCAGCCTATCCAACCTTTCCACACAGCACTGAAACTCTGTGGGAGGTGTTGTTCTGCACGTGGCCTTTTCTAAACTGAAGACTCTGAGTTGATTTTAGAATTATTAAATTGTTTAGGCTGGAAAAGATCTCTAAGATCATGGAGTCCAACCATTAATCACCTCTTGCTGACCCATGCAGGAGGTGATCTCTTCTGCCAATCTCCAAGCCTTTGAAATCCTGCTAAATATTTCTGGGATGGGTTGACAGAACACAGAACTCCAAAGGGATTTATCTGGTGGCACAGTGGTATTTTCCCTCCCCTACCACCCCTTCCAAAAGGGAGGCAGCACCACACAGTTATTCCCCTGCCCTATTTACCAAAAACATGGAGTGAGCAGACAGGGGGGAAAGGATTGAAAACTGAGAGCAGGTTTAGATGGGATATTGGGAGGAAATCCTTCCCAGAGAAGTTGTGGCTGCCCCATCCCTGGAAGTGTCCAAAGCCAGGCTGGACAGGGCTTGGAGCAACCTGGGACAGAGCAAGGTGTCCCTGCCCATGGCAGAGAGCGACACTGGATGAGCTCAAAGATGCCTTCCCACCCAAACCATTCCATGAGCTCAAGGATGCCTTCCCACCCAAACCATTCCATGAGCTCAAGGATGCCTTCCCACCCAAACCATTCCATGATTCCATGATTTCCCAGCCTCTGGAGCCACTCGGGGCTCCACAAGCCCCAGCCTTACCAGGATGGCCACGAAGCTGATGAGGAAGGACACGAGGAAGACGCCGATGCCGTAGAAATGCATGGCGCGGCAAACGGAGCCGCTCAGGCCCTGCGGCGCGCTGGGGGGCTCGGCCACCTCCGTGTGCATCAGGAGACACCTGGGGACACAGGGGACAGCCTGAGCTCCTGCCAGCCCAGCAGGGCAGCCCTGGGGCTGTGCCTCAGCAAGGCAGGGAGCTCACCCGTGCTTCTGGCTGAAGTTCTGGTAGCAATTACTGCTGTTGCCCAGGCAGAACACCGGCACCATGAGGAGGAAAGGGATCAGGCTGGAGGAGAAATGACAGCACAGTCATGGGTTATTGCAGGTATTGCACTGCTCCACTTGGGCACTGCTTGGTTTTTCTCCCATCACTACAGAGGTCTTTAAAGTTGTTTTTATTGGCACTGCTATGGAAAAGTATTTTATCAGCTTTACCAGTGTTGAGGCTTTCATTTGTGAGGGCTAATCATTGGTAAAGGGAAACCTTCTAGAAAACCACATCCAGTTAATAAAGTTATCATTAACTTGGTTGAAAAAAACCTCTTACTCTGCATTCATGAGGTTGCTCTGTTGTTAATTATGAGCTTTACAGTCTTTTTAGTAAAACTTGATTTAAAACAAGTGGGAAGCAGGGATAGGCACAGTGCAGTTTGCCAAATCCACACTCTCCCACTAGGGAGAATTAACAAAATCCACACCCTGTGCAGGGAGAATTAACTCTCACCAAATCCACACCCTGTGCAGGGGGAATTACCTCTCACTAAATCCACACCCTGTGCAGGGAGAATTAACTCTCACCAAATCCAGACCCTGTGCCAGGGAGAATTAACTCTCACCAAATCCACACTCTGTGCCAAGGAGAATTAACTCTCCCCAAATCCACACCCTGTGCCAAGGAGAACGAAATCTTACCTTGACAAGATCGTTGCTATTCGGCCAACACAACTTGCATAATCTACAACCTGCAAAATGCAAAAATCTTAATTAAATTATTTCTGTACAGCCCCTGGTTCACAGGAAGCAGCTTCCAGGGAGGATTCAGCAGCTGAGGGGGATCTGCCCACCCTAAACTTCCAGGTGGAATATGTGGGATACGAAATTTGCTATCTCTGGGGGAGCTGTGCAGGGCAGTGGGGCTGATGGGTTTGTTGGGAAGAGCTGTATAAGGAATGTTTTGTTATCTGGTAGGAATATCTGGGGTATTCCCAGCCTGGTCATGGCAGTGGTGGTGCCTCCCTGCCCTCCCTGTTTGGGTGTGAGGGAGGAATGAACTGCAAGGAGAGATTTTGGTCACAGGGTGTGTGAAGTATTTGCTCAGCCTGCAATGCAGGGAGGTTTTTCCTGAGTGTTGTGTCCTTGTCCCTGGGTTCCCAGCCTTTACAGCAGTCCTGCTCACCTGGGGGGGCACCCTGAACAGGTTCTGGTTGTATTTCACCTTGAGGTCCATATACAGGTGCCAGGTGTAGTTGACAGTGTAGAGAAAAGAGGCCACGTAGAATATCTGAGAAATAAAACCAGAATTTCAGTCCTGGAAGAACAATTCCTGGAGCATGTTCAGCTCCTCCCAAATCCCATGGAACAGAGGCAGGATGATGAACACCTGCCAAAGGTGAGGGTCTGAGCCAGGTTGGAAATTCCCACCTTAAACCACACAAAAGCAGCTTCACTTTAGCCTCAGACAGGACAACTACTGACAGCAGAACTGTCTTAGAAATAAAAATCTTTGTGATCTGGCTCATTTTTTTGGCTCAGAGCCTGGCAATGAGGGTTTCAGAGGCACTTGGACCTTCTCAATGCTATGTCCATCAGGAAACACAGCACAGATGTGACATTTAGATTTCCTTCTTGCATAATAAGCTCACTAGGCAGAGAATTCACGGAAACAGAAAACAATTGGATATTTCAAGAGGAATGTGAGGGCAGATATTCTCTGCCCTCAGCCTGAGTTAACATCCCAAAAACCTCTTTTTTTCCTCCATGGGAAAGGGGAGAAAAGATAGAGCACACTGAAAATTTCATAGCTTTTGATTCCAGCTTGAGATGAGTCTAATTTTCTAAAACTTCCTATAAACCTCCCTAAATCTTGATCAAATTTGTTTCCATATTTATGCTTACTCCAGGTTGCCTAATCAGACCATGTAAATGCCTGTGCTGTGTTTGTCACAGGAAACACAAACTGCAGTGGCAAAGAGGAAGGGCTGGACAAGGGAATTTTTTATTTTTTATTGTGGCTTTGCTATCCTTCGCCAAAAAGATAAGGAGCACAGGTTTGCCACCCTGGTATCATCCAGGGCTGGGAAAGTGGGCACTAAACAAACCTGGCCTCCTTCACTGAGGTTGTGAATGCTCTTGGCTGGCTCAAGAGGCTGAGTCCAAGGGCTGCCACAGAACATTGCAGTGACTTTCCAGCTCATTAAATGAGTTTTAATGAGGGGTTGTTACCCTTTCCCAGCTACTTCCAGAGAAGGCCAAAACAGCCCACAAGGATCATTCTCCTGCACTTCAGGACGCCTGGGAGAGGCTCATGAAATGTCAGTGCTGCCTTCTGGAACAGAGAGCCAAATGCCACTTGTGAAGGTGCCAGGAAGGGAAGGTTTGGGAAGGGAAGGTTTGGGAAGGTTTGGGAAGGGAAGGGAATTCTGCTCTCCTGAGCCCCAGCTTTGGGGCTGGGGACAGTCCTGCAGCATTGGCCATGAGGAGCTAAAGCAGAGACACAAGAATCCCTCATTGTCCCACTTGTGTGGCTCCCATTGTGCTGCCCAGCGTGAGCAGAGCCTGCCAGGACTTTATTAGGCCACTGGAACTGAACTGGAAGGATGTGGGGGAGTTGTGCAATTAAAACCACAATATCTGTTCTGGACTTCATTATTGCAATGCAGGACAGCAAAGGGAGCAGTGTTTACATTCATATCAATCAAAGCTGTGGGGCTGAAAGAGGGAAAATCCAAGAACAAAGCAATCTCCTTCTTTATGATACAGTTTGGGCACTGGGCAGCTCCATCCACTGCAACATCAGCCTGTGATGGCAAATAATGGCAAAGAGCCTGAATAAAGCAAAATATTGCCCTGCTCCTAAGGCAGTGCCTTGAGACACCACAAGGACTCCAGTGTGAGCCTCTCCAAGGGTGAGACAACTTTCCTTGCAGGGAAATTCCACATGGATTTGTGCTGCCAGGAGCTGTTCCAATGCACATTCCCTACTCCAACCTCCACTTCTGCCACAAGAGCAGCATCAAAACTTACAGAAAATATCCCAAATATCCACCATGTTACAATGTTGCAGAATGGGACAGGTTGGCAGGGAGAAGTGACATCATGTTTTAAATAAACTCACATAGAAATCAAACTTCCAGTAAACACAAACCCTGCTGGGCTGTCCCTGCCCATCCTCACCTCAGCTCATCTGACACCTGCTGGGTGCTGGTGTGCAGAGAGGCCCCAGGTGTTTGTGAGACACCCAGCAGCACAGTGAGACATTTATTTACTCATTCCATCAGCTCCCAGATCCCTCCTGCCCTGCAGAATCTGCTGGTTCAACCTGTTACCGGCTCCTTCTTCTGCACAAGGTGTTCCCACCTCTCAAGGGCACTGCAGGCTGGTGGGTGAGGAGGTCCTGCACTCTCACGTGCCCTGGGGGAAGGTTGCTATGGCAAGGGCTCCGTTTGTTTTCATTTCTCCCAGAGCAAACACAGCCACAGCTCCTGCCAGGCACAATCCGGCTCTGCCACCCAGGCTGTCCCTGCGCTGTGGGGACTGGGGGTGGCACACAGGGGACACTGCCTGAGGTCAGGGTGTGACTCTGCTCAAGGCCAGCTCTGCCCACCCAGCAGGAACACAAAGCCCCCACCTTGTCCCATCCTGTGTTGGTGTCCCTGAAAAGCCACAGGCTGGAATAGTGAGGGCAGAGAAGAGCCAGAAGTGCAAGGGAGCTGAGAAATTATGGGCATATTTTCCACAGCCAAATTATTTCTCCTCTAGCAGTGCAAATTGCCTCCAGGCCATAAAAATATCACATCAGCTGAAAGAACTGTTCCCCAGGCAAGGGAAACAGCTCAGGAACAGCCTCAGTCCTGCTTTGCTCCTTCCACCTTCCAGCTCTGAAAGCCTCTCCCAAGCTCTCCTCATTTTCCCATCTTAAAAACATCTTTGATGTCATTCTGCATCATTCCCAAGTGGCCAAGTTACCCAAACCTCACTGTTTCTCTCAACAGGAACAGACTGTGGAGCCAGCAGGGCTGGAGGGACCAGAGATGAGCCTGGAGTAGAACAGTTGCTCTCACCACCCTCAGCAACACATTTGTACCCCCAAAACAGCTGCTGAAACAACCCTGGGCTGCAGGAACCCATCCCCAGACACACAGCAGCAGGAACAATTCCATCCTGCACCGGCAGCTACTTCCCTGCCCTCTCTGAGGCACATGGAGATCCTTTCCAGCTCTGGATGCTGCTGTTCCATGAGGACATTCAGTTCCCAGTTGTGGGTGCCACCCCACTCTCAGGGAGCTGCCTGAGCCCACACATCAAAGCTTCCAAAAGCCCCTTGATCCTCCCTGCCATATCCTTTAAAAGGAAAAAATTAATTCCAGAGATCATTTATGAACTCCCACGCTCAGCTGGACCCTGCAGAGGTTTTTGAGAGCTGAGATTTCCAAGGCCTGGTGTTGAAATGGGAACTGGGTGAGGCAATAACAAACTGTCAGGAAAACAGTGCTCACCCTCCCTACCCCAACTGGTGCCCAGCACAGGGATCAGCTGAGTCACTGGGACACAGGCTGAGCTTGTGCTGGTCCTTGGGAAGAGCAAGAACTGGGATGTTCATGTGAGGAATTTAAATCTGAGCTCAAAAGTCACAGAATGTGTCTGTTCCTGCCCAGGCTGGAGGAAGCACGAAGAGAAATGGAAAAGCTGCCATGTGAGAGCAGAGATCCATGGGCATGGATCCAACAGGACAGAGATCCAGTCCCATCTGCTCATTTCACACCAGCAACCACCAAATCCCACCTTCTCCTCCTCTCACACACCAGAGGATCCCAAACCCCAGTGCCATGATCTCCCTTTTCCACACAAAGCCAAGAGAAACAGCCCCAGGGCCAGGCTCTGATCACCAGCGAGGTTAATTATGACAAATGACAAGGTTAATGACAGAATGTGGTGCCAAGGCCACTCACCTGTCCCGTGGCCTGCAGGTTGTAGCAGATGAGGTCCTGCTGGGAGGTGGGTGAGCTGTAGAGCAGGGCCCCAGCCAGCCAGCACATGCCCAGCAGCAGATCTGAGAGGCTCAGGTAGAAAAGTGGACGCACCTGGAAAAGGGAAAAAGGAAAATCTCAGCAGGTGTGAGTGGAGTCACAGCCCTCCCACCCCTCAGCTGCAGTTTTACCTCCTTATCAGACATTTAATACAGCCTTCCAATGGTTTTTCTGCAGGTGAGGAAAGTTTTTCAGTAGAAAAACCTCACTGCAAAGTTGTTTTGAAAGCCTGAATTGAGGGGAAGTGGGGCATAAGTGGCACTTTGTGGAGGGATGGTTTACCCTCAGGGAAGCACTGTGACAGCATTTCTGAGACCAGTCAATTCATCTTCACCCTAAAAAAAGTGTCCTTTACTTTAAAAGCCAAGCAAGCTCAAAGAAAAGTTACCAGATGAAAACTTTTCAGGCTCTACTCCTGAATATCATCCTTGTTTTCAGTCCTTTAAAACTCCCACACCAATTCCAGCAGAAAGATGAATTGTGCTCAGACATCAGTCCCAGGTTATCTGGTGTTATCTGAACACTGTCACCTCCCAGCTCTTCTCCCACAACTCTCCTTGCAGGGAAATTCCACATGGATTTGTGCTCTCAGGAGCTGTTCCAATGCACATTCCCTACTCCAACCTCCACTTCTGCCACAAGAGCAGCATCAAAACTTACAGAAAATATCCCAAACATCCACCATGTTACAATGTTGCAGAATGGGACAGGTTGGCAGGGAGAAGAGACATCATGTTTTGAATAAACCCACATAGAAATTAAACTTCCAGTAAACACAAACCCTTCCTCAGCTCTAGAATGACTTGAAACACATTTTTCTATGAGTTCCATGTCATTTCAGCTGATGAGTAAGGTTGGGTTTATTTTACAAGCAGGATTAATTTCCACTGAGAGCCATTACTGCTGGAAAGGAGTCATGTCTCCTTTAACAACAATTTCCAGCCCATTTCCAGTTTGCACACACTGGCCAGGACTGTAAACACTGCAGGAAAACATTGGTGCAAAAATTCTGGCCAACATTTTCTTTGTTAGTGGCAGAGCAGAGACTCTGGAAAAGCAGCCTAATTACCTACATTCTTAATTAAAGCCTTTGGTACCTCATTTTCAGCATCCAGGAGAGAAAATTGTGGTGTTTTTCTTTCCCTACAGAAAATGATAATTCCAAACACAGCATGGAAATGCTTCAGCAGGCTTTGATTTTGTATTTCTTTTCATGGAGCTGAGCTTTTGGTGAGATTTGCCTCAATATTGTCCTGGAAGTAAATGTATGCCACCCATCAGGTTGTGTTTTACTTGTTCCCATGTGCAGTGAGAGCTTAGGAAGAGTGATAAGAGTTAAGGTAGATTGAGCAGATTTGTCCTTAGGGTGTGAAGGAGCACAAGGCACAAAGATCTGGAGTTAATTTTAATTTTTTTAACCTATAAATGCCTTTTTTTAACCAGGCTTTTCCTCACTGGTGCAGAAATGAAGCCCTGGCACAGCAGGCTGGGAGCACTGTCCAGTTTGTGATCGAGGCAGGTTAAACCAAACAGATCTAAAATAAGCAAAGAAGGCACTTTTGCAATCCAACAGGTGACCTCTGTCTCCAGCACAAGTGCCCTTGCAGCAAGGCACTGCTGGTGGGCCCAGGAGCTGTTCTGGATAAAGAAGGAGGTGACACAGGGACACGTGTGGCTCTGGCTTGAAAAAGGGGAAAGAAAATTACCACTGGTATTTATAAAATAGAGGAAGGGACTGCAAAGATGTAATGATTTCCATCCTGCAGCACACACGGGGGTTTGGCTCTCTGGCCATGGCCCAGGCACATGCTGAGCTGAAGGTTCCTCCTCAAACCTGCTGAGCTGAGGTTTCTTCCTCAAACCTGTTCAGCTGAGAGTTCTTCCTCAAATGTGTTGGGCTGAGGGTTCTTCCTTGCTTGCCATCACCTCTTCTGAATGATTTACCTCAGGCTGAAGGGTTTTATTGACCCCATAGAGACAGAGAGCAAGCTTCAAGAATGCAATATTTGATTTCTGAGGTTGGGGCAGGAAGGGAAGTGTTTCTAAGATCCTTCTCCTCCCAGCCTCCAGAGCTGTTTATTTTTAAATGTTTTGCTGTGGCTCCTCATGACTCAGGGAATAATCTGTTTGTGGCTAGCCTTGATATGGATCACTTCCAACCCTTTTTGTTTACAAACTTCCACTTGAGCCCTGAGACATGAGGACAAGACTATGGGGAAGTTGATGGAGATTTTGTCACTTTTGAAACCCAGATCTCCCCTGGCAGCAGAGGAGCCTGGAAGGCTGATGCAAACCAGTCCCTCCAGCTGGCATCCAGCCCTCCTCTCCGGATCTGCAGAAATAATCTGAGCAGAAACATCTGGAGCCTCTGGAGCAGGAAGGGCCCATTGCTGACCTGGAGCCATGAGTGGCTCATGAGCAGCTCCCAAGCCACAGCCCCATCACATGACTGAGAGCAGAAGGGCTCCTGAGCACCCAGGCCATGGGAGCCAGCAGGATGAGGCTGCTGAGTCACAGCAGGACACTGCCAGCCCTGCTCCACATCATTCCAGAGAGAGAACCCCAGCAGAAATCACATCTGGAGCTTCCCAGGTGCAGATGTGGTTGAAGGAGACTTTGATGAGTACCTTGAGCAGCACAAGCTCAAGCAGGTTTTCTATCCCAGCTCTAAGGTGAAGTCCCAGCCTTCTTCTAAGGTGAATTCCCATTCTTCCCTGGGGATTCATGGAGATCTCCACAGTTTATTCTGGGTGTGCTGGGCAGAGCATATCCACAGGCTGGCTGGGAGCAAGGTCCTCCCTGCTGTAAGTGGGACAGCTTTGCCCTGCAAACATGGACTCATGTTCTCCTTCCCACCGTGTCATCCAACAAAGTGTCAGCTGCCTGCATTCCTTGCTTCTCCAGGGATAGCTCCAGGAATTCCCTGAAAGTCCCATCCTCTGGGCTGCAGATCAAATCCATGATGTACAAAGAACATGAAGACGAAGGAAGGACAAATACAGCTGCTGCCAGCTCCACTGACTTTCAGGCTGAGCCTGCAAACCCTGCACAGCAAATCCCAACTTCACAGGGATCAGCTTGGCTCACTGCCCCCAGGAAGTCCTGGACACACAGAGGGACTGCGTGTGGACACCCAACCCTGGCAGGATGTGATGGAGGCTGTGGGGTCAGTTTTAGTAGCACACCTGCCCAGAGAGACTCCTCAGAGACAGCCAAAACCCAACCCTTATTAAAGCATTTCTGCAGGGGCAGCTCCAGTTTGCACTCCAGCAGCTTTGTGCACGACTGCTCAGCCCCCCAGGAGTTTGGCCCCACTGAGGAGGGCACACCAAGAAATCCCTGCTCCAGGAATGACTGGAGGACTTTCCTGGAGCAGCAGAAAGCTGCAGGAACCTGCTTCTCCCTGCAGAAGCACAGGTTCAAGGTCAGCCCTTTCACCTCCTACCAAGACAAAGAGCCCAATTCTTAGCAAGCCATTTGCCTCCCAGCTATTAAACAAGTTTTAACCACATAACCCTGAGAACTGCAGCTGCTCCTAAGGGAAAGTCTGTGCTAAAGGTGTGACCCACGTAGAGGGAATGACACCACAGCTGAGGGAGGGAGAAGGAAGCTCAGACCTTACCTCGGGGGACCGCACTGCGTTTTGGAAGACGGCGTAGGCAATAATTGAGCTGGAACCTACAACGCTGAGAAAACAAAGCACAGGTTGGGACAGGAGCGCGTCTGCCTCGCTGGGAGACGCGAGTTCTCTTTTTTTTTTTTGCTTTTCTGGGTAAAATCACCTTCGCCACAGTAACTCAAGGGGCAGCGTGTCGTACCTGAGCATGGCCATGGTGAACTGGATCCACTGGAGCGCGGAGTAGACCTGGGGAGAAGGACGGGAGGGAGCTCAGGTGACACCGGGTCCCGGGAGAAGCGGGCAGCACGGGCCGGGGACGGGGAGCCCGGGGAGAAGGACGAGGATCAAGAATCGGGGATCGGGATGGGAGCGGGCAGCGCGGAGCTGGCAAGGTGGACAGGCGGGTCCCGGAGAAGAGCGGGCAGCACGGACCGGGGACAGCGGGGTCCCGAAGAGGAATAAGCAGCACAGACCGGGGACTGGGGACAGCGGGGTCCCGAAGAGGAATAAGCAGTACAGACTGGGGGAGGATCGTGCAAGGCTGCCGGTGCCGCCGGGCACGGAGCGGGGCGCAGGGCTGGGGCAGGACTGTGAGGGGATGGACGAGAAGAGACGCGCACAGCGAGGTCCCGGGGAGGGGACAGCCGCTGTCCCGAGGGGTGCCGGTGCCGGCAGGGCTCGCTCACCTCCTGCCAGCCCCCATCCAGCCGGTCCGCCTCGGCCGGCAGGGCCATGGGTACCGCCGCCGCCGCCGCACCGCTCCGGGGCTGCGGGCACCGCCCGCGCTCCGCCCCGGGGCCGCACCGCGCCCGGCCCCCGCCGGCGGGGCCGGCTGCGGGGAGCGCCCGGTGCTAGAGAGGGGCTGAGGGGACAGGAGCCTGGGGCAAACAGCGGGATTGGCGTCCCGGGCACCGGCGTCCCGCGCATCCCTCCGGGGGCAGAACCGGCCGAGCCCCGGTGGGCGGGCTCGCTCCGGTCACCGCCGCCCCGGGCTCCCCTCACGGAGCCGCCCTGAGGCGACCCCGCGGAGCCTCGGTCCCGCCCATCCGTGACGTCACCAGCGCCCGGGGGCGGGAAGGCGCTTCGGGGAGCGAGCGGCGGCTCTGAGGGGGCTGCTGCCCTCAGGGAGACCGGGCGCGGTTCCTTCAGGGTCCCGGGGGCTGCTGCCCTCAGAGAGACCGGGCACGGCTCCTTCAGGGTCGCGGGGGCTGCTGCCCTCAGAGAGACCGGGAACGGCTCCTTCAGGGTCCCGGGGGCTGCTGCCCTCAGAGAAACCGGGCACAGCTCCTTCAGGGTCCCGGGGGCTACTCCTCTCAGAGAAACTGGGTACCGCTCCTTCAGAATCCCGCTGCTTCCCTCAGGGAGCCCGGGCACGGTTCCCTTAGAATCCTGCGGGCTGCTCCCCTCAGAGATCCCAGGGACTGCTCCCTTCACAGATCCAGGGCACGGTCCCCTCAAGCGCTGCTCCTATCAGGGCCTGCTCCCTTCAGAGTCACGGGGAATGGTTCCCTCAGTGCTTCGAGAACGGCTCCCCTCAGAGGACGATTCCCTCAAGGTCTCCGGGGCTGAGCCAGGCGGGACAAATCTCCACACAGCGCTCCCAAGGACAGCCCGCCATGCCGGGGTCCCTCCTCTGCCGCTCCTGAGGGGAGAGAGCTCCGGGCCACCCTCGGCTCCCCTCAGCCGTCACAGCCTCCCCTCTGATCACTGTAGTTTTTCTATAGTGATTAAGAAGCAGCTCTGAAGTGGAATTTTTTTTTTTATTATAGCATTATTAATACATTTTATCTCGCAGCAACATCTGCTCCTTGTACCCACCCCCAAGATTCAAAAGGCAGCAAAGCTCCCACAGGAATCAGTTTTGTTTAAAGCATACTTTTAAGGTAAAACTTACAGGTGTTTTTCTCTTTTCAACCATGTCACCCTGACCAGGGCTTCAGCATCTTCCAGAAGCATCCAAATTCCACAGAGTCTGAACTGCACAGTTCTGAGGACTGACCTGATCCTTGGGCCAGGCATCTCCTTTTAAATAACACACATGAGGCTTCTAAGGACACAAATACTTCTGCTTCCTCTTACAAGACCTCATTTTCAAATATTCAGAACTACCAAACACTGATGAGGATTCAGTTTGAGAGTGTCAATTGTTTCTGGAGGCTAGAAAAAAAACATTTTGTTTATGAAAGTTTGGACAGGTAAAACACTTCTTCAGCTGTAAGAAAACTCATCCAAATTTACCTCTGAAAACCTGATTTTTTTCACAAACTGGTGAGACTGAGTGTAATAGCACCTCAAGGAGACTCTGCCCTTGCTCAGAACTCACTTCACTGTGTCAAGGTATCACAAAGGATTTCAGGAGAATATTTAATGAAATGGCTGCTCTGGACAGAAAATGAGGGGCATGCTGTGAACTGTCTTCACTGCCAGCACTTGGCTGATACCCAAAGCAAACAGGGACAGAAGCCATGGAAGGGGAAGGCAGAAAAAGGAAGCTCTGAGTCTCTCAGTCAACAACAGGTAAGAACAAGACTTAGAGCCAAAATGGGACAACACAAGGAGTGTGAGGGGTAGATTAACAAGCATAAAACCCAAGGACATTACAGACAGAAAAAGGTGGGGAAGTAGAGGGAACCCAATCTGTACCTTACCCAGCATGTAAGATGGAATGAGAGACTGAATTCTGTTATTTGTTAGCCAGGGAACAGCTGTAAAAACCACCAGGAATGAGCTTCTGGCCAATCTAGAGCTTTTTTTTTGTTGTTGTTGTCTGCTTTAACACTGTTACTGGATAGCATTGCACAATACTTGCTGTGTCTTGCTCTTAGGTGATTTTCCCAACATTTACAATACTGTGTTTTTAAGGAATGTCTTCCTCTAGATCTTCTAAACTGAGAATCCCAGAAGGAGATCTGCTGCCCTCTTGAAGTCAGCGGGAAGTTTGCTTGCATTAAGGAGAACTGGTTAGGACTCTTGACAATGTTTCACAGCTTGTAGAAGAGTTCTCCAACACATCAGAGCTCATCTTTGTCACTATTCTTCTTCCGGAAAGAAGTGAGGATATTGAGGCTTTTCTGGAGCTCCTCCTTCTTTCCATCACTCATCTTGTTCTTCTCGATCAGCTTGGTGATTCGGACGACTTCGTTAGCAGCAAACTCCTCTCCCTGCTCCAAGATCTTGCTCATAATTTTCAAGTATTGCTCTGCCGACTTCTTCTCGGTTTCTTTTGCTTTTCCTAAATTCTCCTGGCCCTTTTTCAGGAGGGCCTGGCGATCAGATTTCTCTGTGGTGCTCATGAATTTGCTGGCCAGCACATCATACTCCTTCAGGCAGCCTGGCATGCCCAGGTAGATGCCATTACTCTTCAGCCAGCGCTGAATAGCCCCAGCCTTGATCTCCCCACCATAAAGTAAAGGATTTTTAAAGTCACCATCCTGGAACAAGTAAAAAACAGGGAATTTTTCCTTGTCCAGCTTGTACTTCTCTCCCAGCTCAGTGTTCAGTTTATCACCGTAATCTGTCAAGGGACAACAAAACACAGAAAAGCACAGTTAATCAAAAATTAAATTAGGATTCCCTCCCACACAAATATTTGTAGGCAGAGCTTCAACATGTCCTAATAACCTGTCTGCCAGGAAATCACAGAGTCATGGAAATATCCTGAGCTGGAAGGGACCCAAAAGTTTCACCGAGTCCAACTTCCAGTCCTGCTCAGGACACCCCAAAATCCCAAATATTCCCTGAGCTCTGGAAGCCTTGGGGCCCTGACCATTCTCTGGAGAGCCTGTTCCAAGGAAATGCCACACACTGAAATAAAAACACCTCATGAAATCATTTGTGCAAGGCAAACTTTCAGTGGCTTTTCCAAAGAAAAAGACTTTAATGGTGTTTTGCTATGACTGTGAGAGTGTAAGGCATTGGCAGGACCTTTTGTATAAACCCTGTTCTCCTTGTGGGAAATCAATACTCTTTTTCCTCTTATTTTCCTCTATCCATTGATTTTATCTGATTTTACAGTGAAATAAGAGTTTTTCCTGTCAGTGTGCAGAGAATGATTTGGTTCTGACAGCATGCCAAGCTACAAGACATTTACTCATCTCACAGAAATGATATTTATTCCTGAGGACAGAAAACAAAGCCATTTCAAATATGCTCCCTAGAGTATTCCACATATGCTTAGAAATATCAGAGTGGGTAAAACTTCACAGTTTGATAATTAAACCTAAATTCTTAATTCAACCTCCAAAGCCAGAGCACATCAGGTGACAGTGATCTGTTTTTCACTCTTTTTCTCTTAAACCCAGTCACAATCACATCGAGTTAGAGCAGCCACAGTGCAAGAACCCCTTGCTGTGCTGCCCCAGGCTTTGCTGCATGGAATTAATCACACTAAATATTCTTTGTCTGACCATGGTTGTAGCTAAAGCACGATTCTTGTGAGCTCTGCTCCCTGCATGTGGGACAAAAAGGTTTCTCTCAGCAAAGAAGGGGAAAAAAAAAAGGCAAGAATTGCAGGGGATGAGGAGGTGGCAGCAGTTCAGCAGCGTGGGCTGGCTCCTCATTACCCAGCCCAGATGGATCAGCAGCTCTCCCACGCACAGCCAGGGCAGGAGCTCCACTCTCACATCCATCCCTCCCCCAGAACTGCTCAGAACCTGCAGAAATCACACTGCAATGTATTCCCTCCCCACCAGCCCACACTGTTTGCAGAGTTCCTCACCTGATATTCCCACTTCTGCCACCAGCAGATCCTCACTGGAGCCTGAGCTCTCCGCCAGCTTTTTAAACTCATCTTGTTTCTCACCATAGGGATATTGTGTGTCAAACTTCACAAGGACAAACTTGTGCTTTGGAATGACCTAAAACAAGAAGGAAAAGGGGAAAAGACAAAACAAAACTTGATCATTTCAGGTCTGAGCAATGTACAAGTTGTTTTTGCTTGTCCTTTTTTCCTGTGCAATGGGGAGATGCAGAGGAGAATGGAAATTTGATATAATTATGGCCTTTGAGAAATGACTCAGTGTTGTGTGGAGGAAAGGCTGAGCTTTGGGTGTCTGTATTCCTGCACCAGATGATAAAGATAGTGTGTGGTAGGTTTAGGGGATAATGCCATAATTATAAGATTTGCTTATTGTAAATCTGACTGGCATCTTGGAAGAACATCAGCTAAAACACTGTCCAGTGGGACATGAAGGAGGAGAGAGGCCAAATGTAATTTCATGTCATTCTGAAGTGTCCCAACATGAGAGCTGCACTCCTGGCTGGGAGGGGACACAGGGAGGCAGTGCAGATGCTGGGAGTGTTGCACTGCTACATGAAATGGAGAATTCACATTTAACTGATTCCTCTTCACTTCAGCCTTGCTCTGCTCAGACGATGCCTTTTCCAATTAGTTTGGCAATGGACTCCGTCACCCCTCGGGGGATTTTCCCCTCCCTGCAGTGGAAGACCTTGCAAAATCTTTTTGTTCTCGCGAACAGGTTGAGGTTGCAGCACAGCTCCCCACCTACACAGCGCTCTGCCAGCCCTGCTCAGGCACTGCACATCTGCATGCACAGGTGGCTGCAGGCTCGGTCCCGGCCTGCCGAGCGGTCGGTGTCCCGGTGGGGAGCGCACCGGGCCCGGGGAAGATTCCGTCGTAGCAAAGTGATTTAGTGAAGGGAAAAAAAAACGATGGGGAAAAAAAAAAAAGCGCCTGTTGCTGTTTGATGAACAAGTGGAACCCAAGCAGCGCGCCCACGGCCCCGGCTCCATCCCCGCACGGTGCTGCCCTCCCTCAGCGGCACAGACAGCACAGCCCGGCCGAGGAGCGGCGGCTGCGGCCGCACCTCCCCGCGCCGGTACCGCCGGTACCGCCGGGCCGGACCCCGCGGCTCGGCTCCACTTGGACCGCGCCGATTGGCTGCCGGCCGCGGCCGCGGCGCTCCCATTGGCTGAGCGCTGCGGCCGCCGCGCTCCCATTGGCTGCGGCGCGGCCGCTCCGCCGGCACCGAGCGCTCCCCGCGCCGGCGGCGGCGGCAGCGACCCCGTGCCCGCGGCCCCGCCGCGCCCCCCGCCTTCCTCCCGGGCCGCGGGGCTGCCGCCGGCCGCGGGGATACACAGCCCAGTGCAGCCCCACGCCCGCCCCCGCAGCGCTCCGGCAGGCCCCCAGCGCCGTACCTTGTAGAAGGTGATGGTGTCGAGCGGCACGGAGCCCTTGGTGTGCAGCGTGCTGCCGCCGGGCAGCACCAGGCCGAGCAGGCAGAGCAGCACCGAGCCGGCGGCAGCCGCCGCAGCCATGGCGGAGCGCGGAGGGAGCGGAGCTGCGGAGCCACGTGACGGCGCGACGGCCGCCGCCGGGGGCTCGCCTCGCCCCGCCCCGCTGCCCGGGGCCACCGCGGGAGCGGCAGCGCTCGGGGGCGGGCGGGGGCTCCGGCACCGCGCGGGGAGCGGGCAGCGCGCACGGGCCCCCGGGACAGCAGCGCTGCTGGTGCCGGGGAAATAAGGACAGGAGAGCGGCTGAAGGCAGCAGAAAGGGTAGCAGGGAGAGGAGCCGTAGGGTGGGCACTGCCACAGCCCTCTCAGAGGTTTTTGTGCTGCCAGGGGAGATTTCACGCACTGCCAGCCCGCACTTGCACACAACGTGTCCTTATCGTGGAAAGACTGGATGAAAAGCAAGCAAGCACGGCAGAACGACAGACTGACAGCTCATCAAGTAAAAGCACTGAGCCATCCACGCTCCCACCCCCAGCAGACATCGTTCTGCACCTAATCCCCAGCTGGAAAACAATGAGCATTTTCCCTTTCTCCATCCTTCCTCTTAGCAGGATCTGCTTGTCCTGCACCAGCATAATCTGGCTTCACCACGGAGCTTACAAAGTGCAGACAAGCACTTTGATCACATCCAGACCATCCAGGCAGAAAAATGAGGCAGCAATACCGATTTGTAACGAAACTGACTTTTATATAAATTATAAACCCATCCAGTTTAAAGCAGTTCAGTTGCAGCTGTGTCACTTAAGTCCGTAGAAGGCTGAGGCGTACATATCTCCTACAGTCATAAATTAACAATAATCAAGGAAGAAAGTTCAGATAAGGCTGCAAATACAACAAAAAAAAATTCCCTAAGTTTACTAGCCGTTAAAATAAAGTCATGATTATCAAGGATTGCAAAATATAAATGCAATTTCTGAACAGTTAAAAAGTACAAAAATGATGGACAACACAAACAAGCATTGTACAGTTTGTCCTGTGTGTAGACAAAGCAGAGTAGGAGATTTCCAACCTTTATCTACATCAGACACTGATTTGAAGCCAAGAGGAGTTGAGGAAATCTGTAAAAGGATCGTGGCTCATGATCCCAGTAGTATAAAAGCAGTAATTTTTCAGTCTGTAAACAGTAGTCTTGGTAGCTTCTTCTAGGTATGTTTTTCAATTCATCACCCAAAGAAAATCCGAAACCAACAAAAACAAATCCTAAGAGTGGAAAAAAGGGGAACAGCAGCAATGGGTTATAGCTTGAATTTCTTACCAGGTCCGTGTGGGACATATTCTGGAGGGGAAATGCTCTTTCATAAGAAATATATAATATATTTAACTGTACACAATTTATAGGGGGAGAGAAACTCTCCCTCAAGCAAGCCCCCAGTCAGTGAGTACGGAGTCATTTTTGTACACTGGTTCCTCCTAGAGAAACTACAGCTTGGGAAGAGACAGCCTCTGCTTTTAGAAACCACTGAGGAGCCCCAAAGTCCTGTGTTTGCCAAGGCTGTCGTTCCCAGTGGCTGCAAGTGGCACGAGAACAGCAGCTGGCACTGAGAACATCCCAATTCCCTGTGCTGGAAGTGACAGAGCCATGGCTCCACCCTGTCCCAGCCCCTGCCTCAGATGACACCAGTCCCCTCCACAGTCTCAGTTCTGCTTTCAAGGGATGCAGGAAACCTTTTTTTAACCCAGCTTCTGCTTTCAGGCACACAGGAGGATTTTAAATGCTTGGTTCTCTTAATCCTAAACCTCACTTACACTGTCACCATTGCTTATTGATACGACTGAGTCCAACCTGGTGTAGCAGCAGTGGAAGGAAACTCCAGCCTGGATCAGCCCTGGGACTGTCCCCTGTGTCACCTTTGCTGTGTTTGTGCAAAGCCCTTGGGAATCAGAGGACAGGGACAGCAGCAGAGCCACTGTGGCCCTGACTGGGAAGGGCAGGGCCTGTTTGTGGCTCAGGGCTGCTCTGAGCTGCCCCAGCCCAGCTCTGGGGGGGTTTCACTCACCCTGACAGCATCACCTCCAGTCACCAGCCTTGCTTTAATTCAAGGAGCACACCCTCCTTTCAAAAATGATATTTCTATACAATATGACAGTTCTGTTTCTTTTTTTTCTTTTCTTTTTTTTTTTTTTTCAGTAAAAGTATTACTATAAAACAAACTTAACACATTTTGGTATTCCTCCAGCCCAGAGCACTTACCAGACACTGTGATTCAATCATCAGGACATCTTTTACAATCTGACAACCTGCAGACATTCTTCTTCTTTCCCTTTCAGGATGGGGCAAAGCCAAACTAAATCCAGCAAGAGCAGCTATGGGACTTTTTTTTGTTGTTTTTTAATACAGGGAATTTATTAAAAAAATACTCTCATCAACATTCTAGCATTACTAACAAAACAGAGGAGATGACAAAGGCAGTCAAGCTCTCTTCAAACTTTAAATCTAGACTTGGATACCTGTGGCTCTAACCAGGAGATGAGGAATCTGTTGGGTCTGACCTGTCCCTTGTATTGCAGGTACATGAACTTTTTTTTTTGCCTATCAATTTTAGGCTGCATTGCTCTTTGAACATGAAAAAAAACCCAGCAGAAATGCAGATTCTGTGGGAGCAGATGATATGGTCACACTTTCTAACAGAAAGCTTCATGGGCCAGTACTGGGATAATCAAAGTTCAACTGCAACAAGCAAGCAGACAGGTACAAAAAGGAGCTCAGCCTCAGACCACAGCGGAAGCAAAAGTTACCTCTGCCAACTTAAAACCAAAGCCAATAGGATTCCTTTTCTATTAAAATATTGAAGTCTTAAAGTTTCAGTAATCTAAATACACTTTTTAAAAGTCATGACGTCGCTGTTTGACATTAAACTGACATGATACCAGCGCAGTGTAGTGTCACACTTCACTTCACTGCAGCCATTATTTACAAGGTCTCTCTTTTTGTGTTTGTTTTTTTTTTGCTGAAACACCCATTCCCATCTCTCTCTCTCTCCGAAGTTTGCTCCTCCTCACATCTGCAGTTTTCCCAAGTTGTGCACAGACACCTCCTCCCTGGAGGATCCTGCCCAGCTCCAGATGATTCCCAGCCCTCCATGGAGGCCTCACCTCTCCCTGATGGAGCAACACTTGGAATTCTGGCAGCAGGACCAGGTGGTTTGCAGACAAAACAGGCAGCTCCAAGCCAGATCAGTTCATCAGAGGTGGCTCAACGTGGACATCTACAATTCCTGCATTTCTAAGGCAAGGACCATACAAAAGTTATGAACACTGTATGGTGATGAAAATATCCTTGGAGATAGATGCTTTACACTGGATTGCTATTGCTGCTTCTAAAGACCATCTCCAGTTGGCTCTAGAGATCAAAAGGGAAGAAAGTGACTTTTCTCCTGTTGCAATATGCTTATGAACATGTATAAAAAGTGGTCAAACCCCAGGAAGGGTCCCTGCTTCTTTTATGTACAATAATTTAAATCAGCTCAATACATTTGTAATACCTAAAAAAATTCTTTCATGATTTTAAGTCCTTCATGCATTATGAGGAAGTTCTGGATTTAAGTGATGGTAGAGTGAATGTTGCTTCTGTCTGGGACTCTGGTGTCACTCCCCTGTGGAGTCTGTCAGGGATGCATTGCTCAAATCTTTAGTTTTTTAATGGTATCAAGTCTCTTTTTCAGCAGCTCTCCAATTTCCTGAACTGAGTGATGGTAACTGCTCTGGACCTTCCCTTGCACAGTCTTTGTAAACTTTTTTTCTTCCTGCAAAGTGCAAAAGAGAAATAACTCACTCCACAGCCACTGTTTAAATCCCCCTTTTAAACTTTCTCCAACATCTCAAACAGCAGAAGGAAATTCCTGAGGACCAGGGTTTGCCCAGGGAATCTCTTACCTGTAAAAGCAGAGTGTCCTTGAGGGACAGCTCTTCACGTTTTAGTGCAGTCAGAATGATTTCAAGCCCTTTGATATGATCTATTACATTGGAAGTTAATGTCTGGAGTTCAGTTACATAATCCAGGAAATGGGTAAATACAGGTGGCTACAAAAACAAACACAGGTCTTGAATTTATAAACACACATTAATGTCCATTTTCTATAACTCACTTTGTAATATATAATTCCTTCTTCCCACCACTGCTAAGCTATAATTTAGCTCCCCAGATAAACACTCCCAGCTGACAAGTTCACTGTAGTACATTCCAGGCAGGAAGGTCAATGACACTCTAAACTGTATTTCTCATTAAAAAACTGTCACATGATGTCACAGACATGACATGGCACTGATTTTAAACAGCAAGAATTAGCCCCAAGTAACCATTACCCACATCAACCTCCACAAGTTTATGAAAACCAGTTCATGTTATCTACCCTGATTTTTCTTCCAGAATAAATAAACTGTGATTAGGGGTGGGGGGAGAGAGAAAGAAACATTGTTTGTACCATTGCTACACTGCTCTCTTTTTTTTTCTTCTTCTTTTTTTGCAGGTTGGATTTAAAAGGTCGGAGGACACTGTCACAGTAACTTGATACCCACAGGGCAATGGAGATCGTCTGGAAGAAAGGTAAAAATATGTTCTAAATTACATTTACAGGAGGCTTCTCCACTCATTTTAGTGTTCCTGGTAAAACCCAGCATGATTAAAATATGCAACAAAATCCCTCACGAGTTCTCTTGATTGTCTGAGATCAAACTTGCACTGTGTTTCAGTCCCAACATTTCTACCCCACAGCACTCCCAAATTTCTAGTTTTCAGAGGGAAAAAAAAAATTACCTCAACAAAGAAGACTAAGTTTTCTAACAGGTTTGGATGAGTTTTCAAGGTGCCATCTCTGACTTCAATCAAATCACCTTTACATTTATTGAACAAGTCTGAAAAGAAAAAAGACAAAAGGCTTAGTGAAAGATGAAGGAGATGATTTTAAATGTGCATTATCTGAGTGTCCAGAGCTGTCAGAGCACTGACCACTGAGTCCTCTCCATCTCCTCTGAGTCCTGGCTCACTACCAACATTTCCACAGCCCTGCTGAGCCCCTCTGACCCAAGCACCAGGAGAAGAAGCTGCCCAGGCTGGGAGATAAA